CTTGGTCGCTGATTCAGACACAACAGTCAGGTGTTCAGCACAATTCTTAGAGAAATGTAAAGGGGTAAGCCCACTGCACAACGACATCATGGTTTCCTTTGATGTCACGTCCCTCCTTATATCTATTCCACTGGACCTGGCAATCCTACGAGAGAAATATGATGAAACGGATAATCGCCTCGGGCACGCCCAAATCCTCCAGTTCCTTAAGTTCTGTCTCAAGATGTACTTTACCTTTAACGGAAGTTGGATTTGCGCACAGGCCAGAAGCAACCACCAGGCGCCGCTTTATGAGTCCGAAAGACCCACTGCCACGGCAAAAAACAGCTGGAGTCGATTTACCGGATCTGGTGCAGTTGTGGACAAAGCAACTACGTCGGAGAAACCGGGAGATAACTTCGGACGCGAATGGCCGAGTATTCAACCAAACAAAGCAAACTGGGTCATTCACAGATTGAAAAAAACTGGGTGGAATTCTACTTTAGGTCCCGGAATCCGTTTAACTAATCTAATGTATACGCAACAAAGGGGCGCGGCATAAATAAAGAGAGAAGTTTATTTTTCATTGGTTACTTAATTATAGGGTGAGGTTATATAGAGCGGTCGGATTTTTCCCTATCTAAAATAATCAACTACTAACAAATTTTCAGTAGGTTGAACTAACCATAATCTTCAGATTTTCTACACGCCACCCATCATTCCAGCTGGGATTTGCTGATGGCATTGAACTGCAGAGCGGTTCTTCGAAGGCAACCGCATTCCATAACTGCTATAATCGGCAAACTAAGAAAAGTTGGCCTTTTGAACTACCCACGGGAATTACCGCGTACTTGCAATTTTTAAGTAGGGTGATTTACATAATCTTGCCACTTTTGCTCTTCTTTGAACTTTTTCCCAGTTGGTGTTGGCGATACCACATGCGCAACAACTTTACATTGTTTTATTTTATTTGGTTTATTTAACTCATTTATATTTAAGTTTACTTTTCCCTTTATTATTATGTTTACAATTTTTTCCTTTAGTTTAGATTATTTTTTAGTTAAGTGAGTTTAACTTACTTTAGTTTACCTTTTTCGGTTAGTTGATTTTAGTTTTAGTTAGTTTGTTTCAAATTTAGTTATTTCCCTATAGTTGCAGCATACCTGCATATTTTAATTATGGCGCGCTGTTTTGTTAACAAACAGAAGGGCATTTAAATAATTATTCCTACTTCTTTTAACCATTATGAACTTTATTTTGCAAAATTCGTATTCCCCTTTCTTTGGATTGCCCAGACTTGATACTCTTTATTTCATCCGGTTTTTTTTTACAAAAGACTGTGTCTTTCACGTGCTGATCTGGAGTTTGAGGTTAGATTCTACCAAAAACCGCTGCTCTTCTGGCGGCGGTAGGAAATTGAAGTGGGCAACCTCCTAACCACCAAATCTTTTAAGAATATCAAGAAAACCAATAAACCATAAAGCATAAGTAAGTTAAAAGTGTGCAAATTTTTCCTACCTAATAACCTATAGGTAAGTGCGAAATGTAATTAAATTGCTGCGTTCCTTTAAGGCGCTTTTAGTCTATTGCAGTCTCAACAACACTGTTGTCCTCTATTACCGTACTTGGAGCACACTTATTTAGAAAGGTGATGCTCTGACCTCTGATAAATGGTAGCGTCAGAGCTCGCACCAGTACTACTGCACTTCTTGTTGAGATTGTGCGGATATGCGCCCAGTGCCGACTTTAGTCAGTGTCACTTTCTGACTAATAATACAGCCAGAAATCGTAGTATTAGAAACACCAGTAGAAGTACTGGCAGTACTAGCGTTGGTTTCCAGAACTCTAGCCTGACAACAATTGAAGGTGGGTATTTACTCAGAATAGCTTTAACCCAGATTCATACTCTCTGAGCAGACGTTCTGTAAAGGCAAAGCTACAGAGAGATATTGCAGTAGGCCTATAGGTAGTCTATAAACGGCAAACTGCACGACATGAGGGCATGATAGGACTTGTGCTATTATTCACTAACGCTCTAATATTGCCTAACTCCTAATCACTTTACCTCACACAGATTGGGAGTGCATACTGCGTGCTGTCTTCTTAAAAAGCACACAGCCTGAGAGGATAGAAGTGAGAGGACGGAATACAAGGCAAGCCCTGGTGTGTTCAGGGCCTCAAACATGTAGTTACTAGAAATAGCATAAACCCAGATTTCCTACTCCTTGTTGGGAACAAAGGGGGTATGAGCCCCAGCCATAACTTTAAAACAGCGTCACTTCTGACAAATGTTAGCGTCAGAAATAGTGCCAGTACTACTAAGAACCGGCTACATTGATAGTCAGTAGTAGAAGTAGTAAAGTCAGTAGTAACCGAATCAGTCTTGGGCCTGTATTCACACCTACTAAGGGTGAGTGAGGGTAGATAGTACAGTAGTACCCGCGCAAAGTCTACTGTCACCAAAGACTAAATTAGGCGGTGTTTCGGCTTGCATGTGGAAAGTAGCCTACGCTGGAACCTGTTTAGTCTTCGAGACTTCGGGTGAAGGTGAAGAGTGCGGAGCCGCTAACTACGTCCTCTATCACTTTAAATCTGACCCCTGAGACCGTCACCTTCTGTACCAACCTGTTGGCGCACTTGGTGAACTTAATCGAAATCGATGGTCAAACACACACACACACACACACTCACCGATAGCAGCTGCCGTCTTCGAGGTGGGCAGGCTGGAACAATCACCGAGGGCGAAGATGTTGGGAAACTTGGTGTGACGCGTGGTGGCTGGATCGACACTCACATAGCCTCCCGCCGCGCTGTTTGACAGCTCAGACGTCTTTGTAATCACGTCAGGTGGAGTCATCGGAGGTGTAATGTGCAGGAGATCATACTGCAGGAGGAAAGCAACGGTTGAGGAAGTTTGAAACAGGCCAAAGCAGCAGAATTTGTTTGCGAAAATAAATTTCGAGAGCGTTTATTAACTGCGTCCTCTCTGTGCATGAATAACAAAACACTTAGAGAACGAATCATTTTGAATTTTCACAAAATCAATGATAGCAAGGTCATGTTAACGTGGCGATTGGTCAATAGTCATGTCAACTTTAAACTTGGGACGAAAAGTAGGGAGGGGGGAATTAACAAAAACAAAAGTGTGGTATGTATTGACCAGGGCAATTGAAGATTAACTAGTTGTTTACATAGGTCGGGTTTCTCCCACGGTATGTAGGATACTTCCATGTAACGTAAGGTCCGGTTTTTTCGTGCTCGAACAAGGATACGGAAAGGTGTGTTGCTGTCAACGGAGTGACTACTGTCTAGTAAGTGTTTTGTAATGGATGACCGTGGCACTTTGTTTTCTTGTTTTAAAAGCCAAGCAGGTAAATGTTCAGAAGCCCTGGTCGCCAATTGCCTTTGCGTATGGCCAATGTACTTGCATCCACAAGTGCGGGTGAATTCATAGACACAGTTTGGAGTGGCATGCAAAGGCAAGGCTTCCCTTGGCCGGTTAATTGGGATGCTTTTAGTTGGAGTGAGGAAAACAAGTTCGGCCGCATAGTACGTTCTCCGTATGGAACAACGC